TTGGGTTATGAAACAGATAATAGGTTATGTTTGGAGATCTGTACTTGATTTTGGGTAAAGTATAAAATAAGACAATGATTATACTTTTTAGATATTTCTTAGGTGCTAATGGTGTTGCGTGCCTACAAACAAATGTTCTTTTCCTATAATTATAGTTGCTATACAGCGATTAATGGTTGAGTTCCACTCCTCTCCCAATTCTCAGAGGAATCTAACCTCAATATCAGGCTAATTATCAAACCGAGTACGTTTCGCACGCTCGTAGACTCGTTGTTCGCGTTTACTTCGATGTTATCTGATCTTTCACTAACAATGACATCCTCAGTTCGGAGAAGATGGAACGTGTCAGGTGCAACTGCACGATAATGGCGTCGAAAAGCGAGGCAGCATTGAATCCGGCAGCGTGTTAGTTTCGCTAATGGATACGACCGCGTTTACTATCGAAACCGGAATGGTTTCCAAATTACCAGCCCTCATTTCTTAATGGAGAATCCACGAATGTTAATGAAAATTAGTTTTTCCAATTTTCCTTTTCTTCTACTTTGATTCTAAGGTGAAAGGGACAAAAGGGTTTGTTCGTTCATTCGTGTAACAACTTCGTAAGAAAATTGTTGTCGTCTTTATAATCAGTTAATTTTCAATTTGTCTCTGATGCAGCAATTTGCTGTATTCATTTTCTGCTCAACAAACAGGCTGAACAAACAACGTTTCGTGTGCTTCAACAAACTGAGAGGGCATTGTACTCCCAGGTTATTTTATGAACGCGTGGCACAGTGTTTATTTAAAGCCTCGGACGAAATTGCAATTAAAAATAACGCCGGTGTTCCGAGGCTGACGAAATTAAGTTACACGCGAATTAACCACTCCAGCCGCAAAATCGAGTCGGTGAATTAAACGAAAAGAATCGCGAACTGCGTTGCTTTTGTTTTCATATTGTCGGATTGCTCATTTCAGCACACGAGTTACAAGTTATCGTGAAAATAGAGAGGAATTTCCATTTGTATTTTGAAGAGAGGAAATAAAAGAACTATTTTTCCGTGGAAAAGGATAAGAACAATAAAATTTGCATTTTATTTGATCTGAAAAATAGAGACAGATGAATTGGCCTGAAGTTTATTTCTTCAATAAACTGAAAGAGATGTTTTGAGTTTCAATATTATCACGAAAGTTTGGAATTTAATTTCGACAGAAGCGAAGAGTTATAAAACTCCTTGGATGCGCCATTTTATATGGCGCTGCTTTCTAGAGCAGCACAGTAACACAAGTTTATGCGATAATAAAATTGAAACAGTAAAAGCGAAATACTGGTATATAGATTTCTAAATGATTCTCTAGAATGAATTGTAATTCCGTTTCAGAATAGAGTACAAGGGTAGATTTGTAGAAAAAGAAATAAACTTTGAGGTTAGCTTTTAGTTCAGTGGCGCGCCATTCAGATTCCTCTTCATGAGAATTTTCCCAAAATACCCAATAAGCTCTGTTCAAGTCACTATTGACTCTCCCAAACGTACTAGAAACTGAAATTCCAATCCTCTCGAACAATGCAGCTTTAAAACTTGTCAAAAGTGCATCCGCTTCCACTTGGTTACATTTCCTCGTGGTTTGCTACAGCTTCACCAGCTCACAGTGTTTTACACTCTTTTGGCTCTTCTGGTTAACCATTGTTCTAAATTCGCTGCGATGGGAAACATTCTACAATCACGGTTTATCTTCATTGACGTTGTTTTTCTTGCTTCCCAGCTATCGAGAAACTTCTATTGACGTCGAGTTTGGAAAAAGACCACGTTTATTCGGGATCGTGGCTGCCCTTTCATTTTCGAGGCCTGCTCGATACACGCCAACGTTGATTTCGCAAACTCCACGTCATTTCCATTCGCTATTCAATTAGAGCATCCGTTCGTCTGGTTAGAAAAAGCACGGTGAACTTGACGTTGGGATTGATTCGAATATATGACGCTGATTGATGTCGTGTTTTCCTTTCTCCCTTTTTTAGTCCACGAATAGCACGTTTGCATCGTTATTTTAACTTTAGTTTGTCCTGGTCAGCTTTGATTTTGAGGTTAGGTTGATATTTTAATCGATTTACATGTAAATATATTTAATTTTGAGGTTAGCTTGATGTTATATTGAATTTTGAGGTTAAGCCGATCCTCTGAGTCATGTACCCTTTTTCAGGACCATTTAGTTATAACCTCAATCACACTCTTGACTGTTGACATTAATGAAATCATAATCTTAAACCATTCCAAAGTCACTTCGATCGTCGTTGAAGAACAAATTACACAGATTCGTCTGATTCGAACGAATCAAGACTTCTTGGACGTCTGCCAGGACTTTTCTGTCGCTCATTAGGCCTCCATTCTGCATTGTGTGCAACAGACGTTGAAGAGAGAAGGGGTCAGGAACGTAATGGAAATATTTACCCCCGACAGCACTGGCAGCGCATGTTTATTCAGAACATATGAAACGCTTGCACGGTGAATTCGATTTCAGGCTCGAGCTAAACCATGTTATGCATTAACGTGGTAAATGCCGCCATACGGCTTTATGGTGTTTATTTCATGGACCAGTGCTTTTGCTTCGAATGTTCTGGCGTTTATTAGCCACATCAAGATGGAGCTTTTACTGCTGAATGCTTCAAACATAAATCGGATCAGATGACTTTCATTCATTTCTATTAACACCATTATTAACTTCATAGATTCTATTAATTTTTGTCATTTTCTAAAAGTCAATGGTTCAAGTAACTTCAAATTTTAAATAGGTGATGCGAAAGCAAGGAGATGGACTGATTTACAATTCCTTGATACTTGGAAACTTTTCATCGCGACTCGTTCACAGAGAGCCTTTGGGTAACCTGTTTAAAAGCGATCGAAAGGCGTAACAGTTTTCCATGGGGTTCATGAATATTTCATGGAATCGTAGGGCCTATCGATGCGTCCTCGAGCACGATCCTTTAATCAACGAGGACCTCGGTTGCATTAACACCGAGAATCGATTTAGCTACTGCTACAAATTGCATTTGCAGTAGCTCTTGCTACCCTTTATTTTCTTTCTTCCAACGATTGTCACGTTCCTTTGCACTTGGTAACTCTCTTTGAATACAGAATTTGTTATATATGTTTTTATAAGAGACTAACTGTATGAACCAAAATTTATATAGTGGGTCATCCATGACTTCTACTGTGTCCATAGTGCCAAGTGACCTTATTGAAAAATTGCTACTTGCTGCTCTCAACATATCACAATCTTCCTCCTCTTTGAACCTTTAATTAAACTGAACCTGTATCGCGGGCCATTCATAACCTCCCACTACGTCTATCTCGTCGGGTTACTTCAATGAAATGTTATACCGTTCGCACACAAGATACGTCCAGCCTTATACCCCTTCTTCGTGGCCTCGAGCCCCCATTCACGAGACAACCTTCCTCAATATCCTACGTACATACTTTGAATACCCTGAATCGATACGCACTATCCAAAAGGGGAAGTCCCGGCCAATGATGCACAGTGGTGTCTCGGACGACGAAACGAGAGGTAGACACGCGGTAGCCAGAAGGCCAGACTTAAAATTGGCCGGCGTTCGGTAATCTTGCAGACCGTACCAGAAGAAATCGCCGACCCCAAGTGGCGGTGGTAGCAGCAGAACCGGCTGGCGATCGCGAAGGAGCATCACCACCGCGGGTGCACCGGCTCATCAACACCACGTGATCGCCAGTGCAGCTGCAACTGCACAGGCCAGGATGCAGGCGGAACAGGGGAGCATCGGGGAACTAAGGGGTTATCATAACCTGAGGTCCAGGAGGCACACTTTGGCCAACGTTCGGTAAGTTTCATTTTTTTTTTTCTTCATATTCTTTTTCATTTTGAGAATGTCTTAACTTGGATATCTCGTTTTGGACCGTTTCTGTACTGTTTTCTGGTGAAACCAATTTTTTTTTCTTTTATTGAGGCGCAGTATTTTTTTTAAATGGCAGTCATGTTGTAAATCACAAGCTATGTGTCTATGACCCTGATGAATCATTTGAGAAAACAAAATGGACGATCTCCGTTTGGACTGGGGGTCACTTAAGTTTGGCGACAAATTGTAATCGTTCCGTGCCAAATGTCGTGGGTGTCTGATTTATGAAGTAATGAAATCTCGTTAGTAACGGAAGCATTGAAATTTCGGCAAGGCTCCTTTCAACATTTGCAGTTCTATTAATAAGCAAATTGGTGAAGCCACCTCAACGGAACAACGTTTGAGAATACGCGTTTGACTAATGAAAGTGTTTTCGATAGTGCACTTCACGGAAGAATATTCATGGATTCGTTAAGTGAAATAAATAAATATCTTTCAATATGTAAAACTGTGGTTTATAAAATTGTAGGTTTTGATTATGAAGTTAAATAACTTCCATTTATCTCCATTAGGCTACTTTAAACTTGCAAACATAACCTAAAATTCAATACAAATCTAATAAAAACTTATTAAGTATTTCCCTTAAACTTAACAAGAAGTTTAATTCGATTTTGGTTCAAACAGAATGAAAACCTAATTATGACTAAAGTTAGTAGACCTAACCGAGGTTTGACTTACTTTTAATGAAACCCTAACCTATTCTCAGCCAAGAAGCAATTCTGTTCTAACTGCAATTAATTTAAACATAGGTGGATATATTTAATTGAAAAATATGATATTAATTTAAATAAGTTTTTTGAATCGCATCAGAACATAACCTATATCTCATTCAACCCGATTGAAATTCAATTGTCTTAATTTAAACACAATAGATGCCTATACTCAGCTTCGTTTAAATTTAAACCACATTCATCGTGAAGCTAATTTGAAACTAATTATGATGTAACACGAACAAAGCCATCGCAAGAAGGTGAACCTCCAATTATATAATTTCTCATTTAATTATAGCTAAGTTAATAAAATTAAAGTCAGTATAATTACACATAATAGCAGTTGTTCTTTATTATCAATTTACAATCTACATAAACGATTACATGGAACAATGCACTGGGCACTTGTGTTTCTTCTTCAGATGGAGGGTAAGCCAAAGTCGAAATTTAATTTCTGAATGATAGTCAATTCTATTATGTGACAGCCAGATGAGAAGAACCATCCTGCACAATGGTTCCATGCTATTGATTTTAAAAGAGTACCATTCAGAAGGCCATATTATTGGAAATTACATACCGTTCTCTTTGTCGCGACAATGTTTGATTCCATCATCGGGTTCAGTCGCTCAGAAGCCATTGCTGGACGAGTTACTCCTACTTTCTTCATTCATCTTCTGAATACGTTCAAGGAATATGCTCCTTCAGAATAAACTCTGATCCTCTGAAACCTTCACTGAAACGATTCTAAAATGTTGCATATTAGGTTATGTTAAAACCTAACCTCAAACATTTTCAGACAGAAGAAGTATTAGTCAAGGTTCAGAAAGGAAAGTCTGACAGTTTCCATAATAAAATAACTTCAAACAGATCTTTTTGAATGTTCCTCTCTATATAAGAAGCTTTTCAAACGCAAGGTTACAAAAGTCGCAATACATTTTTACTATCTGGTGCATAAATTTTCGAAAAGTCGAATGACGTACATAAAAGTACTCCATCATAAGGACAGGAGTATAAACTTTCGAAGAAATGTATCATCTGACAAAGTCTAAAGAGAAATACTATTTCTTCCTTCAAGTACACAAAAGCCATCTTTCATGCGATACACTTATCTACACGACGTAAAGGGAACAAAGGCTTCGACATAAAAAACTGCTAAACATACCCCAGCGGAGAGGAATTCTCAAGTGTGACACATTAGCCTCCATCCATCCTTGAAGAATCAAATAACCAGATCAGTCAGGATCACCACAGGCACAGTGCATTCTATTGAACTCTCCAGACTCTCCAGTTTCTATCTCGCAACTGCAGACGCAGTGCATCAAGGATTCTTTGTCTGTCGTCTCAGTGGCAGGCATAATTTCTTGCACCTCCTTCTCAGGATCCATTGTATCCTTCCTCAAGGGCTTGTCAAGCTTGGAACTGACCTTGGAGCTAGCCTTGGAGGTACTCTTGGAACTAGTCTTGGAGCTATCCTTGGAGCTAGCCTTGGAAATTTTCGCCGAGCAGCATTGATCGACCTTCTTCTTCAGCCTATGGAATGGTATGCCCCTTGGGGTAGTAGAGGCAACGGCACAGACCTCTTTGTCACTAGTGAGTTTCTTCACCTCCTTCTTGGAGGATTTCACGGATTCCTGGGACTTCAAGGCCTCCTGGGACTTCAAGGTCTCCTGGAGCTTCAAGGCCTCCTGGAGCTTCAAGGCCTCCTGAAGCTTCAAGGCCTCCTGAAGCTTCCTTATTTTACAATCAGGACAGATAGTCTCATTTTGCATCCCCTGATTTGTATATGGGGTGACAGTCTTCCTCGTCGTCGGCGGAGGAGGCTGGGCGCAACTCACCGTTGAGTCCTGCCTTTGAGTCGACTGCCTTTGAGTCGACTGTCTTTGAGTCGACTGCCTTTGAGTCCTTGGATCAATGGATATACTTGAAAGAACGTCCTTGCCACATACGCAACAGTTGCACTTCGCCAGTTCAGGCTGTTTAGGTTTTTTGCTATAATGGAAGGATTTAAGCTCCCGCTCCTGGTCAGACTTGGGTGTTCCATTCAGATGGGCGACCTCAGCCTTCAGGGACTGCAGAATCTCTGAGATACGGAGACTCGGAGGTTTACTATCAACATATGTAGCTTTAACTTGGAGGAAACTTGATTTTTCTGTTTGGGTACTCGCGGCAGTGGTTATTGTTAGGGATGGTTCTGTTATGGGTGTCAACCTGCGGGTTAGTTGGTCCAGGATCTCCAGTTCTGGGTCCACTGACTTCGTGATGGTTATAATCCTTGGTTGCTGAGAAGGTCTTGTGAATTTGTTCGTTGGTGTTTGTGTTCCTGTCTCGGACACTGTCTGTGTGACCACTTCGATGGACTCCATGGTTGCACTGAATTCTGTCTGGGTGATTTCGATTTTGGTTTCTGGTTCCTACGAAACAATATTAAAATTGTAGAAAAGTTGATGTGTTGCTGATTTTGTAAATAGGTATTGAAGTAAATTACAGTTTGCTGCTCAGCAATTGTAGGGAGGACAGCAACAAAGGGCATTACAAGCGGCACTTCTGGAGTTGGAATTTTTGGAGCTGGAGCTTCCGGTGTTTCCAGCGCAAAGAAACAGCTGCAAAGCTTAGTCGGGTCCTCTGGAACTGGAACTTTTGATGCTTTTGGTGCAGGTTCTTCGAGTATGGAGAAACAATCACAAGGTGCCTCTTTTTGAACTGGAACCTTTGATACTTTAGGTTCATTGAAACAGACACAGGGAAATGTTTGGGCCTCTTCTTTATCTGGAACTTTTGGTACTTCTGGTTCAGAGGAACAAACACAAGGAAGTAATTGCTCCTCTTCTTTATCTTTTAGTACTTCTGGTTCAGTGAAACAGACACAAGGAAGTAATTCCGCCTCTTTATCTTTTGGTACTTCTGGTTCAATGAAACAGACACAAGGAAACGAAACCACTTCTTCTAGAGCTGGAACTTCTGGTACCTTTGGTACTTCCAATACCTCTGGTACTGATACTTTTTTAATACATATTTCTTCCTTACATACTTCCACAGGTATTTCCATCTCATCTGATACAGGTACTTCTATCACTTCTTCTGATTCCTTTTCTTCAGCTGGTACTTCTTCCGTACATGGTCTCTTACATATTTCTATTGTACATATTTCTAACTCTTCTAATACAGGTACTTCTATCACTTCTTCTGATTCCTTTTCTTCAGCTGGTATTTCTTCCTTACATGGTCCCTCACATATTTCTTCTATACATATTTCTAACTCTTCTGATACAGGTACTTCTGTCACTTCTTCTTCTGCTTCTTTTTCTTCAGCTGGTTCTTCTCCCACTTCTTCTGGCAACATTTCTACTTTCTCTTCTTCTGGCAACATTTCTACTTCCTCTTCTTCTGGCAACATTTCTACTTTCTCTTCTTCTGGTATTTCCTCTATCTTCTCTTTATCTACGATTTCTTCTACTTCTATTATTTCTTCTATTGGTACTTCCTCTACTTTTTCTTCAGGCACTGGGGCTTCTTCAACTTCGATTCCTACTTCTTCTTCTGGAATTACTGCTACTACTAGTACTGTTGTTTCCTCTGCTTCCTCTGTGGGTACTTCAGCTTCTTCCTCGCCTTCTTCTTTAGGTTCTGATACTTCTTCTTCTTCTGGGAGCATTTCCATTTCTACTTCTTCCTCCTTTGGCACTTCGTCTGGAAGTAATTCCACTGTAACGTCTTCTTTGCGTATTTCTTCTTCTTCCTTTTCTGGAAGTAATTCCACCCCAATGTCTTCTTCTTTTGGCTCTTCCATTACTTCAAGCATGTCCACCTCAACCGTTTCTTCGTCTGGTGCTTTCTTCTCTTCCACCTCTGGAAGTAAATCATCTTCAATTTCTTTCTTCTGTGCTGTAACCATTTCATCTTCCTCTGGCAGTATTCGTGATTCAGTTTCTTCTTCCCTCGACACTAGTGCTTCATCTTCCTTCTTTTCCATAGGAACTTCAGCCTCAACTACTTCTTCTTTTTCTTTTATCGTTATTGTATCTACGTCTTCTTCTTTTTCTTCTTGTGATATCTCTTGTTTTACTTCCACGGGTGTTATAGTATCTTCCTTATCAGCTGATGGTACAGTGTCAGTTTTAACAGCTTCTACAAGTACTTTTTCCACTTCTTCAGGACTGATTTCTACAGCAATAGGTACTCCCTCCTTCATAAGTGGAGGTATCTCTTCCTCAGATGGTGTCTCTTCCTTAATAGATACTACTTGCGGTATCGAAACTTTACTAGGTTCTTTGCTCACCTCTTGCACCACTGATACCGTTGGTGTTACTGTTTTCTCCTTTTCAGGTGGTGCCTCTACTTCAGCTACCTTCTGTGCTGTTATCGGTTCTTCGATGTCTTGAATTTCTTCCTTGATTATTGACTGGGTTACTTCCTCAACTACTAGTTCTTCAATTACTTCAGCTTCCTCTATTTTTGGCTCGATCTGTCCCTCTTCTTCTACTTGTACTCCAATTTCTGTAGGAGACACCTGTTCTAGAACGCTTAGTTCTTCGATCTCCTCTTTTCTTCGTCGAGGGTCATCGATCACGTCTCTCATTGTTATCTGGAAGAGACCGAAAAATTGATACTTTAGATAATGAGTTTGAAGAAATGACTATACAGAACATGAAGATAAAATTCCATTTAAACAAGAAACAATTGTAGCTATTTATACTTACTCCAGTGTACCTTGCTATCATCTCAGCTACCTCATCAGCATCCTTCTTGACAACCAGGCAATCGGGACAAGTCTAAACATAATGTGGAGAAATTAATCTTCAGTTCACTGTTCATCATTATTTAGTTCAACTTTAATACATACCGCTATTGTTTCACGTACTGCATCCACATTACCCTGCCACGTTTGCAGTTCATCACGCGGGACCAGGATGTTGTCATCTCCAACTGCATCCTGATACAATGTATAATCTTCTACTTCAGCTTCAGTAGTCATTCCTTCTACAATTTCTTCTTCAGGCATAGGGGCTTCAATAAAAGCTTCCTGTACAGCATCAATCTCTGTCTCTTCTAGGGTAGTGACTGGAGTTTCTTTTTCATCATCAATTTTTCTGTCACTTTTAATGGTAATCTCATCAACCGAAATAAGCTCTTCTTCCCCCACTTCATATACTAGTTCCACAGCTTCCTTACGATCTTCTGTATGTTTGATCGTCTTCCTCATCGCACTTGGAACTCCGCCAACTGTTACTTCAGATATTTCATCTGCTTCCTCTAACTTCTTCAGCAACATCTCTGCTGTCATGCGTCCTTCCTTCAAAGCTTTCATTTCTTCTTCAGTTAGTCCACTCTCTGTGAATACCTGGTCGTTGCAAATGAAGTCTGGAGCGCAGAGTTCCACAGCTTCCTTACTATCTTCTGTATGTTTGATCGTCTTGCTCATTGCACTTGAAATTCCGCCAACTGTTACTTCAGATATTTCATCTGCTTCCTCAAACTTCTTCAGCAACATCTCTGCTGTCACGCGTCCTTCCTTCAAAGCTTTCAGTTCTTCTTCAGTTAGTCCAGTCTCTGTGAATACCTGGTCGTTGCAAATGAAGTCTGGAGCGCAGACATAGTCATCGTCAGTGAATAGTTCCGAAAGCGATCCATAACTAGCCAGGTAATTTTTAGCTGCTTCCAGCTTTTGTTTCTCTTCTACAGTCAAATCGTCGTATTGAACGCTTGTAGTGAGATCTGCAAAGTCTGGTTTGGCCAGGGCATCCTTCTCTGACACTTCTGCCTTGGATAGAACCCCTTTCTCTTCCACTGTCGCTACACTATACTTGCTTCCCACCTTCTGATCCGACCGAAGCACTTCAGAAGATGTCTTTTGTTCAACGACATCAGCGAAGTCATCATCTCTACCTATCAGGGCCTCTATCTTTCCTATACTCATGTACTTCTCCAGCTCATTCCTGCAATTTGCCATTCTTGTTCTTAGCTTCTCCAATATGTCCTCCAGCTGAACGATTCGATCAGCCATCTGTTGATTGGCAGCCGTCTTTACATCCAACTGTTCTTGAAGAGTGCTCATTGTGCTGGCCGCGTCGCCTTGCAGTTTCGACCATAGCTCATCAGCTTGCTGGAGGGTCCTCATGTAGGCCTCTTCTCGACGCTCCAGGTCGGCGATCTGCCTTTTCATACACAGCTCGGTCTCTGCCAGCTGCTGGAGCTCCTCCAGGCACTCGATGTCCGTTGACTTGATGGACGCGCTGCTGGGCACTTTGTCCAGCCATTTTTTCTTGCATTCTATCACGCCACACTCGCCTGCGGTAATCATAGTAGAGATGTTGAGGGCACAGTTCAGAAATCTGGTAATAATGTTAAGGAATTATAGGACTCACCAGACTCGCAGGCACCATCGTCCTTCATCTTAGCGGCAGCAGCCTCCCGTAGCTTCTGAGCCTCGATCTTCAATTTCTCTATGTTCTCTTTAATCTGTTCTTGAGCCTTCCTAGCTTCATCCAGCTTCTTATTTTTCTCCTCCAACGCAGCCGCCTTCTCAGCCCAAAGAGTCCTAGCCTCTTCCGCCCTCTTCTGCGCCTGCTTCCTCTCGGCCTCAACCTCCCTGACTCTGCAGTCGAAATGGCGACTAGGCGTGCTCGGACAGTACACTTCTCCGGATGCAGGGCCTTGGAACGACTTCTCTAACACTTGTTTAATGCTAGGTACACATGCCCCCTGGCTCATCCGCCATATGTTCCACACCATCACCGCGGGCATAGAGCACTCCAGGATATTCAGACGGTGCTTCAGGTCACCCTGTTGTTTCTCCAGCTCTTCGTTCTTCATTTCTCGTTTGCCGATCAGCTCCCGGAATCGACGCTGGCACTGTCGATGCAATCTAGCCGCTCTAGGCTTCTGGCCATTCTGGAACATGTCCTTGCTCAGTTGATCCAATGAGGTTTTCTTTCCATTCAGAGGAAGTTCTTGAGACTTTTTCAATTCTTCCTGACTCTTGGATGTTTCTTCCAAGATGGATGTTTCCTCTTGTTGACTCTGGATACTTGGGTCTCTAGGTAGATCATCTGGAGGTGGCATTACCACTGATGCCGAAGGTGATCCATTTTGTAGAATTGTAGTAACGAGGGACTCTATCTTTGACATCTTGGGCGAACTCTTCGAGGCACTCGTGGTACTCGACTTTGAATCCTCGGGTATCCCTGGAATTTCGTAGTCTGATTCTTGGGGTGCAGAGGTTTCCTCTGGGTCCTCTGTGTCCGCCATAGTGTCCTTCAGTGTAACGATGGGAAATTATATAATACAGTTACCTGGATCAACGAAATGAAGGTTGTTATTAAAATTTTTTAGTTATTTTTGTTAATACTCAGAAATTGTAACAATTATGGTTTAAAAAGACATTGTCACCTGTACGAACGATGTTTGAAATATTTTTCGTGCACGTGCATTATTCTACGAAAAGGAAAAAGTGAGATAACCTTTCCGTGTCAGGGGATGGAGGTCTGTTTAGTTAATTCGAGTTACATATTCGTAAAAGAAGCGATTCTGATGTTGGACCCGATCCAATTTGGGCTGTTGCTTACGCTTTAGTTCACCATCACTCTAGTTTTGGCAGGTTCGTCGGAAAAGCACGATTGAATTCTGTCTACTCTGTCAATTTTGTAATTCGATTTGAACGTAGCCGCTGTCGTGTCGAGATACGACCAACTTCGAGGTGTATCGATCGGGCACATCCATTGGTTTCTTCTTCGAAATGGTGACTCGAGGCAGGATTCGATAAACATAATTAATTAATTAATTAGTGACTCAAAAATTGGTGACTTTGAAATTACATTACCTTAGATTTCGAAATACTTATATTTGATAAACTTAATTGTTGTATTGTTCCTTTCATTATCAATGAACAAATTCAGTGCAGAGATATTGCATTTTTTAATATTTTTTGATATATTTTTTTGGTGGCATTATTTTTGTATCATCCTGTATAATCATTGTTCAGTATCCCTGTTGTGTTCCTTATCGCTGAACGATCGAAGCTGACATCCAGTGGTCGCAACTTTTCTGCCCATAAATCATGCCCCTCAGCATAGTAATTTGACGTGTTCCATTCAGGCGATGGCGTAAAGGGTATGGAGGAGATTTAATAGGGGGAAAAGTTGCGTTAGATTGATGTATTGATCATCGTTCCAGGTAAATACGCGACGTTTTAATTGGTTTCCCAGCCATTCATCTCGGTTCTGCCTTATTATTTATTTCGTTATCATTATAATCAACGTTATATTTTACACAATGAATTTATAAAAACATCGATACTAATATTAACACTTTTCCGGCATACAATTTCTAGTCTGCGCCGTTGAATTTTTTATAACAAATAACAACTTTAAAATAGTAGTGGCTGAAAATAGGAACAAAAGCACGAGCATCAGTCAGGTACAGAGTTAAATATCAATTTTTTCCAGTTCGGTTTACCGCAGAGGAGCAACGTTAAAGGATAAACCGGCCTAAGCCCGGAAAAACCCTGTTTTATGTCGGGCCAGCCTGAAAAGGGGGTTGACCTCGCTCACCCTCCACTTTCTCTGCCGCCCTTCTTTCTGCACCTCTCGCAAAATCAATAGTATCGGTGTACCGCGTTTATCCCACGTTACGGACCAGCCGAACGTCGACAGCTTAGCACGAAATAGCTGCAGGCGATCCTCGCTTTCCTCGAAACTTTCGACTTAACAGTAATTTTCGGCCATTGTGCGCGAGAAAAGCGGATCGATGGGAACTTTACACGACCATTCGTGCAACTTGCGTGGTTATTTCTATCATCATATATGGCACAGAAATTGATTAGACTACAATCTTAGGAATTTGATTTATAAGTGTTTCAGTTAGTAATTTTGAATTCTAGCCTAGAGACTTTGCCACATGACAAAGAAAATGAAATCTGACAACGGTTTATTTAATTAATTAATTATCTTCCCCTTGTTACTTGTGTCGAAGTTCAACCAAAAGTAGGGTACAAAAAGGAGGAAACAAGTTAACCGGACCAAAATATAATTATCCGTATAACTGAGTTCGTGGAAGACTGGTCCTTTCATCGAATCAACTTATTTAATTACTAATTTGAAACTTGCCTTCAATTAACGTGATATCAAAGTTACCGTAGAGTTAAAGGTGAACCTAAGTGAAATTACTGGATTTCTATTTTTAGAATAAATACCAAAGTTACAGAAAATCCAACTTTCTGCTTTCAGTTTTGTTTACTGCAAGTAATACTCGATTCTCATTAAATGTTGAGCACCTTGCCTGGTGTACACATTCAATTTATCGATATTTCGCTTCTATTAAGAAGCTTTTGCGAGCTTTTTGCCGATTTCAGACTTGGCACAAAGAACGTTATTATTGCCTGGTAATTGAAGGGGACACAGTGGCTCTCGGTCTTTGATGTCCTTGTGAATTGCTTTTGATCAATAATCAGGAGTGACATAATATTAAGAAAAAAAAATTATAATTGGAACATTATTATTGTGTGACTGTTACATCAAAGTTAAATTAAATTTATTATATTCAAAGAAGTGCAAGAAGTGATTGAAAATCGATTAGAGGTTTAATTGTTCAATGGAGAGCAATAAATTTTTGTACGCAAATTTATAGGTGGTTGACTCCTTTAATTGCATTTAACTGGAACAATGTTTCAATGCCGACAGCACTTAATTTGTTACCGTTCGTTTGTCTAATTTAAACTATTCATTTCATCACTTTTCAGTAGTATGGATCAGTAATTGGGAATACAAACCATTTTCGAAATAAATTTCAGTGATTTATTTATATAACGTTCAGTTAAAAATTCAAATAATTAGGAATTGATTCTCAGAAAATTAATATTTAGCCTCGAAAGGATATTGTATTTATTATCAGTAGTATAGATCAATAATTTAGCCTCCATGTTTGTGTTTATTTCAATAATTACTGTGAATCAAGTGTCAATAATATAAAGTACACTAATTATATTTGTTATAAGGGATTCTTAGTGATTTTGAGGACCTCCAGATATTTTTTTTTCACCAAAAACTAAAAACCATTAGTACAACTCAATAATTCTAGCACCATGAAGAAATGGTTACTGGTTTAATTACTTGATATTTATTGAAAACGAATATCATTTACCACATGCACAAAAGCAAAAGCTAGTTAGTATCAATCGTTGGTATCAGGCATTCACTAAACGGATCTAATTAATCAATCAACACGCCCTAATTAATTACTAATCAAAATGGATCAAACGTGAGCTTCGTGGACATAATTTGAATTACACTCAATCTAATTGATTCCAGACGTAATGACGTAATTAAACACCAGTCAATTTTCGGTCAATCTTAAATTAACTACGGGAATTTCAGTAGCACAGGTCGATGATTTATGCGACATATTGTCAAAAGCAGTTGCCACGCTGCCGCAAACGCAAATTTCAAAACGTTTTCACTTTCCACTGATCTTCTATTCATCCGAATGACAACAGAGAGATTTCCAATACAGTTTGCTAATAATATAAAGTGATTGAAATCTACGTAACTCGTTTGATTAAAAATTTTGCTGTCCTGCACAGTTACTGAATCCAGAATTTCAACACAACTCTCTCCGTGCTACTGGAATGAAGTTCGAAACAAGATTAAGCAACTAATCGTACAGGTAAACCTCGTTTATCCCTGTTGGAGACGAAAACTCAGAACCGATCTCGAACTTGTAATTACATGTCTCCTTACAAATAGGATACCCTGTATATCTTGTAATTTAACAAAAAGTATCACTCAGTTCAACATGAATCTAATCTTAATTTTGTTATACTATTCCAGTTTTCGTGTGAACATAGACAAAAACTAAAATGGTCCTCGAATCACCCCCTGCAAAATTCATCCCCTATCGAACTGGATGCTGCGTCTCGTAGCTCCGTTGGTGAATTAGCATAAACACTTGTACGAATGCATATGAATGCATCCAGACACGATTTGCTACCATTTAAACTTGCATTGCAAATAGGAACCTTCTCCTAACACATTCTCGTATCCCTTAGGTTAATGCTCAAAACTTTCCCTAAAGACGGGGATATTTATGTAGGTGTGTATGCTTGGGTTACCACACCGAAATCTAAGTAATATTTGATACAACCAGTCAAGCTAATAGCACTTTAGGTGCACTGCTGTCAGCCGGAAACATGGGGGGATTATTTGTAAAGTGTCAAACCTGTCTGACTAATCGTTTCTTAATCCTTGTATGGTGGAGCCTGCAAGGAGCCTTGCAACATTTACAACAGTTTCATATAGTTAAAAAATAATTTTTGAAGAGACAATGTAGAATTAAGAAATTGTGAATCTCTCCATGGTCCGCCGTCCGAGGGTTAATCTACTTGGACAGCCTCGTTTATTCGCAGTAAAATAAAGTGAAGTGGTAAAATATTTTTCGAATTAAAAAATGTATAATTAACACTTAATTAGTTATATTTAAAGCTACATAACTATGAAGAGGTTATAGTGACGCCCTCTATGGTTCCAAAATGTTAATCCGTTATCTTCGACCTTATCCAAACCGATTCCTTATCCACGTCAACGACCGCAACGATGTATATTTCACTGTAAACACGTCACGGATTGCCTAGTGACGTCATCGTTAACCTACATACTTTAAAAGACGGAAGCATTTCAATGGCGTGGCCGTCGATGCTAGTCCCAACGAGATACAGGTCCAGTCGAGCGTTCAGACAGCTTTATATCCTACAGTATTGGTTTCTGTATTCCGTTTATAGAACCGAATGCAAACATTCAACCAGCAAGCTTTTCAACTGTCAATAAACATTTCCTGATGTTGCATTATTAGTAACTTCTCAAATGTAATGTGATCGAATAATTAGAAGGGACAAAGAAGATTGAGAATTTTCTTGCAAAGTTTTGTAATTAAATTAAGTGCTTAAACTATACAGCTGCGAAGACCTTCGGCAAAGGAATAAAGTTAATGTCAATAGTGATTCGTTGAAATGTTGAAATAAGGGTCGATCAGGGTTGTTTGGATTTTTATTATCCCAGCCTACTCTAGCTGAAAGTTTTCTGAAAACTTGAAGCTTCATTTCTCATTGTTTTCGTTTCATTTCACTGGAAAATCGAAGAGGGTAGGTCGAGCGTGTCGGAGAGTCGGATCATTCGTTGGTTCGTACTACTTGAATCCTTTTTTTCAGTAATTGAAACACCGATACCCCTGTTGTTTTTGCATTCTTTCCCAGGGAAACAAAGCGTGAAATTCAATTCCACGGGTGTCCGATCCATTTATCCACTTATTTCACTTGAAAATTTATTTCTAACGCTTTGATTGTTAATCTTCAAATTATATAATTAAAATTAGGGATCTGCAGGTAGGCGAAAATTCAGCCGAACTTATTAACATTTCTTTCAGGTGATATTATTATTATCTATAAAATATTTGTATTCCAAGCGTATAAAAGGAACGTGATATCGTATATTTTCATGTTTACAGCTTTGAAGTTTCCTGAAGAGTGAATTCGACGTCGAACTACCCGATTACTTATGGTGCCACCATAAAAGGGGGATCACCATTTTTATCGTTCACGGTACAGTTAGAGACCGCGATTTACGGTGAACGCTTTGCATCTGCCCGGAGAGTTGTAACTTTTACAGCACCGTCTCGTTTTACATCT